ATTTTCATGGGAAATCGTTTGATACCCGGCAATCATCCAAGGTTCATATTCACAATTCATTTAACGAGAGTGGCCAATCTTCCATCCTCGATTAATTCTTCAAAGATATCAATTATGTCATGGACCTTCAGAGGAGCGGACTGTCTTATAGGAGTGGTGTAATCATTAGTTAAGAGCAACATAGGAAAAAAAATTATATTTTATGCAACTTATATTTTGTATACTCTTATCTATAATTTCATTCGTCTACTAATGTCTTTTCTTCATTTTAATTTTAGATTTCTTTGTTATTTAATTAATTCTTAATTGTTTTATAATGCCAGACAGTTGTCATTTCATTATTCATTGTAGTTATTCTTAGGGGACTGTTATAGTCTAAACAATTATCATATGTTTACTTATATTGAAATTAATGTACGTCATATGTTTTAGTAGCAGTATTATTCAATGTGTTGATATGTGTGTATTAAAAATAAAAGTTTATTAGATTTCAATTTATTCCATTTATAAGAATAACAGATATTCTCAGAATTTCCGATACTATTTAATGACCCAGAATAAAATTTACTTTTCTTTCTTGGTTGGTTGTTAGAAATAGAAATAGAAAATCATCTTTATTCTGGGACTAGGTCCCTTAAGAATAACAGCTTGTTCATACAAATTAACAATAAATCTGTTATGTAGTCAAGGCATAAAACCGTTGGTTCTCAACGCAATAATTAAAATTATATATGAAGAGGAGTATGGTTGGGGTGATCATTCAGAAATAAAAAGGAAACATAAACAATAATATTTATATATTTCTTTTATAACAGCATATTCCTTTTCTCTGCTTTACATTTTATGCTAAGAATACCAATTTCGTACTTATGTTATTTTTATTAAATTTACTTCATTATTCCACACTTTGTAACCGTTATTATTATTTATTTATTAGTTCTTGTTATTGTCATTATTCTGCCCACTTCATTTTACTTTAATATTTTTTTACCTACATAGTTTATGTTTCTCATACCTTGTTAACAGGTTCTTTTCTTAGCCCTGACGGAGGCCTGAACTTAAGGTCGAAACGTCGGCAAATGTTAAAATAAATATAATTATTTATTTTTTATTTTTGACTGATCATCCCAACCATCCATCTCTTCATTATTCACGACGGTCAACCCACAATTAAGATTATATATATATTTATATCTGCGGTTGCGAATAATAGATATAAAATAAAATTAATACGACGTAAAATGCACGTTAAGTTTAAACTGCTTTTCTTTCTTCCTTTGTTGAAATTATTATTTATTAATCAATTTTAAATCAAAGTAAAATTGAAACGCCCCTATAAAAAGGCACTTCACGGAAACTGCACTTTTATATTGAGTAAAGATAATTCTTAATTTTAAAATAAGATATGTAAATCGATTATTGAAAAATGTAAAAATAATTGAAGGATCGGGGGAGGGAGAGGGGGAGGGGAGAAAGAAGGATTCCTCGTAGTCCAATTTTTATGATGTTAAACAGGTGCTGCCATCTGATACTACCGATGATACTTCGTATTTTCGTGTACAATAAAATAGGAAAAAAAGAACGATATTCTATATAAAATCGATAGTTTAAAATTGATAAAAATAGCTGTGAATTCCGTATAAGACAAATGATATGAGATAAGTTAATATTGGTGATTGATCTATATATCTTTCAGTGGAGTTTGAAAAAGTCTTCGATGAGAGACCTTCTGTAAATTCTATTATGAATCTGATGGAGTGGGGTAGCTCAGTGGTAGGGTACTTAGTTCCTAATGCTAAAAAAGTCCTAGTTTCGAATCCCGGCTCATGGCAGAAATATTATTTATTCTGTTTATTGGCCATGGGCCAACTCTGGGTAGAGAGCCCTCCTGGAGCACACCCAGCCTCTATAAAGTGGGTACCCTTGATTAAATTAATTAATTAAGGGGTAAAACCTGGCGGTTGAGCGTGATCTCGGTCAAATCACCTCCTTGCACAACTGTATACCAAGAAACGGTGCTTTCTCTAAATAGTAATGAACCCAAGACTCTTCATGGGTTGTAACGGTACAGGAAAAAAAAAAAAATATGAATCTTAAGTAATGCCATGGAAAAGATACCGCTGGCTGTGTATTTTTTGTCTTTCTTATGCCTCACATGCCATTATTGTTTTCTTACTAATCTTGTCAGACAATCCACTGATTGCCAATGACGTATTAGACTGTTGTGGATTAAAAAATAAAGTTAAATAAAAAAATATTTAGATCTTTTTTCGTGCTGAATCATATAACAGTTCTTAATTTCCACTCAAGTTCAAAAAAATTATTGTTGAATATTTTTTTGTGTTTTATTACTGTTCTAAACGAAAATATTCATTATTTTCTTTAAACATTTTTAATACAATTGTTAAAGATATAATAACATTTTACTATGGGTCTGTTTCTGGACTGCTTGTTGAAACAGACCCTATATATTTTTTAATACTTATAAAACTTGACATGTTTCTTGGTTGTAACAAAAGTATATTTTCGTTGGATGTATTTATCCCCAAAATAAACTGTGTAAAGGTTTCAAATAAATAAGCAATGGACTTGAAAGTTTTTTTCTGGCAACAATGAGTAGTTTGGTAAAAATTTATTTTTTCTGGGATATTAAAAATTACTGTTTAGTTTTGACATTTCCTACAGTGAATATTTTTAAGCGGTAAGCAATTTTCTTTTAAAGATAGAGTATCGTATGGTCCTATTTTTATATTTTATGAATCCATTACATGAAGTATATGTTTTTGAATTTATGTGAGTAAATATCCAACTATGATTATTTAACAAAACTAAATAAAAAAAAACAGGATAATTTTACATCACAGTCAAAATTATACACCTCAATTCTTATTATTATTAACCTTTAAATACTATTAATTTCGTTCAATATCTTGTAGGCCACCCATTATTTTCTAACACTTCTTTCAGTCTGTAATCATTTTTTTTTTTTTTTTTTTTTTTTGTGAATTCTGTGGTTCCAGGCAATGTTCCACTCTTCGAGGAGACATTTTTTAAAAGTCTTGTTTGATAGAAATTTAGTTTTTCCTAATTTTTACCTCCAATTTGGCCGACATGTATTTTATCACATTAAGATCGGGTGGCTGTAATGTAGTTTTTTTTTTTTTTTTTTTTAACTTTGCGGCAGTTATAAAGTACCAATTGCTTGACTAACATGGCAACGTGTTTGGGGTCATTACCCTGGTAAAAACTAAATTTGTTTTTTGGGGCCCATACATTCCAAATTTCTTCTGAGAATGTATGTATGTATTAAATCAAATGCATTAATTTATTTATGTATGTATGTAAGTCTATGTAAACATATTTATTCACTATACCGTATGAATATTTTCATTGGATGTATTTACTCCAAAATAAACTGTTTACTGGTTACAAATAAATAAGCATTGGACAAGAATGTTTTTTCTGGCAACAATGAGTAGTTTGGTAAAAATTAATTTTTTCTGGGATATTAAAAATTACTTTTTAGTATTGATATTTCTTACAGTGAATATTTTCTTTATCTGTTAACCTACAGTTATCAAATGTAACCTTTACCAGTTTCTTATCCATTCATTTCTTATGTTTTATCACAGTCTGTTTACTTTTAACTTACACACTATATTCACCATTGTTTTCTATTTTTATTCACACTTATTCTCTATTATTGTTTGTTTATTTTATATCTGTAATACTTAATATTTTAACTATACTGTCCACACTATATCTCTCATGTCATCTTATTATTTCTTTATCATACAATTGTTTCTTATTTAATATCTAATAATAATTCATTTATTCTATTTTTACCATGTACCTTTTATATCTTGTATCTTTCGTAGCCCTGATGAAGACCTACAACGTGGGTCAAAACATCGGCGTAACAATTAAAATGCTATTTTAAAAATTTAGTATTTTTTGACCGCATACCCTGACCAACTCCTTCTCATATTATATCACGGTCTACCATCTCTACACCATTGTGAATATTTTCAGTGTAAAGATTTCGTACACTAGAATCCGCCATATTGTACCCCCACACCAAGAAACACAGTGCAAGAAAAAAACAAAAAACATAACAGAAACTAAGAACAATAGAAAAGAACATATTAATAGGATGTTTAGTGATTACGATAAACTATAGTTTTCTGTGTAATGTAATTTGAACTATTTATTTATTCAATAATTTCAATCAATATCAAGGTATATCATTTTGACTGTGAGCCAGAGTATATATTAAATGTTGGTATTTGACTATCTCAGTTCTTGAATAGACTGTTTCGGGCGATTTACGTAATTCCGTGTAATTCAGATTTTTTTTTTGTTTTGTTTGTAAATGATACTTTTTGCCACACTTAAGGGCACTTAGTACTATAGCAAAAACAAAAAATTTAAAAAAATATCAAATAAATAGAAATATATCTACATAGCAAGGCAAAAACTATTAAAAAAAAACAAAAAACAAAAAAGAAACAAGGAAATGTAACTTAAAGATAAAATTAAATAAAATACAGAAATTCGCAACAAAAAAAAAGATATACATATATATGTATATATATATATATATATATATATATATATATATATATATATATATATATATATATATATATATAAAGTAATAGAAATAAATAGATAAATAAAAAAAATAATTTAAAAAAGAAAACATTCATACTTATCAGATAAAATTAATGTAAATAAGAAAGATTTTCCAATATTCTACGGATCTCGAGTTTATGTTAATTTTAGGATGGAAATAGCTAACGAGTTACTAAGCCCCCGTCGGAATGAAAAGGGCCCGGCATGAAAAGTCGTTAAAAATTCTTTTGATAAGCTGATTATGGATATTTTGACAGATTTCCATTTGAGGGCGCTCGCTACCCGAAGCGACAAAGCGTACAAGACCCTATACCCAATAACCACTTTGTAAAGCGCATACGGCTCTAAATGCAAATGCTCACCTTTCATCTGAGCCAGATTGCCATGCAGGCCTTCCGATTGCTTCTTCTTTCGATATCTTTATTTATATACCTCGTCTTCTTCAGTATTCCTCCTTCAGGTTCTGCCTTTCTTAACACAGTTTCAAGACGAGCGATTCTATTCTTGAAATATGGAAGCAGTTGATATGACCAAACTATAGACTATGTAAAAGATCTCACATGTAATGGTTTTTATATAAAATGGTTGAGATTATAATGCTGTTATTTAGCTCTATTGTATTTAAAAAAAAAAAAAAAACGTTCAGCCGTTAGCTTGACATATAAGACAAGTTTTGTTTTTTCATCACAAGCCATGGCTCGCGGGAGTTGGGATGAGGTCTCAATGCGGCTCGCGGAACTTAGTTGAGTTCTTAATGTGGCCCGTGGTCCAAAAACTTTGGAGACCCCTGGTATAAGTTATCGTAAATTCTTTTGTAATGGGTACGTATTTGGTCGTTAATCGTTGACATGCGTAGGTATTTATGCAAAGTAATATTTGTACCATGGAGCATTGAGTTATAATTCTGAAATTTTTGAGTGAAAAATTGATAGTTTCGTGTTTAGGCTGTCTCGTATACATGTGAAGCATCCAATGGGTTTAACTTGATAAATGTATGTGTTCACTTTCTGTTTTAGATTAAATTTTAAACGTCTTGGGAAAAATGAGTGTAATAGTAGTAGTCTGAGGTTTAACGTTCTTCTTTTTCTGTTGATTTGTAGCCCTCATGTCAATTCTCCTGTCAAATGTCAGGACACATCATAAATTATAAAAATAAAATTACACATTTATTGTAACATGATTTGATTTAATTTTTTATGAAGAACATATTCTATTTGTTTTTGAAAAAGAACAAGGTCTGAGGGTACAAGTATTTAAAAAATTAAATAAAATTTTTTTTATCTATGGATGGCCTCTCGAGCTATGGTATCTGTTTCTCAACAGTCAGTTTTCAATAAACGCTGTTCTGGCTTTCAAGTATTGATATTCATTGAAACAGCAAAAAAAGGCATTTATGAAATGAAGGAGGTGCATTATAAATAACTATACAGATTCAGTTTGTGTTAGAAATTTTAATTTATAAAATCAGTATAAACCAATGACTTCCTGTCCTACAGTATCCTTTAACAATACTCCACTTATCCCTGTTGAGCAGATCCGATACCTAGGACTCCACCTGGACAAACGACTAACTTGGAATCCTCATACCAGACTGAAACGACAAGAAACCGCTCGACGTTTCCGATTACTTCAACACTTACTTGAGAAACGCTCTAAACTTCCAATCAATTACAAAAGACTCATATACATGAGTATAATAAGGCCTATTTGGACTTATGTTGTTGGATTTCGGTTCTAGAATAGGGATTTTAAAAAAAAATATTCACATACCACTAATTTTGTGTCAGGTGTGACATGAAAAATTTTACCAATTAATATTGAAAAATCAATAATAAAAGCTAATTTGATTTTATATTTTATTCTACCGCTCGACGTTTCCGTCTACTCCAACACTTACTAGACAAACGCTCTAAGCTTCCAGTTAATTACAAAAGACTCATATAGATGACTAAAATAAGACCTATTTGGACTTACGGAGTTGAGTTTTGGGGCTCCATCGAATTCCTCTTGTATCCAATCCTTACAATCAAAAATCCTTCGGAAAATCCTCAATGCTCCCTACTTTGTCACCAATAAAATCATCCACAATGACCTTAATGTTCCTGATGTATCAGATTTGGTCCAATCCAGATATCTATCCTTCCATAATAAACTTCAGAATAACCCCAACCCTCTCGTTTCTAATCTTGCTTCCTCTCCAATTCCTGGTAACCCTCCGAGGCGTCTGAAAAGAAGATGGACCCGTGATCTCCTAATGTAGACATATTATTGGAGTGCTACGATTGGGTAGTTGCTCAGCAAGTATTTTCACGTCGTTATATCCATATGTTCAAATTTACTAGATATATTTCTTTAATATAGTTGTAAATATCATTAAGAAATAATAAAAAAAAAAGAATTATAAAATTAAGTTCTGTTTCAGAGTTATATAGGATAACCTCCTAACCCATCTATACGGAGTCTTTCGGTATATTCTCTAAAATAGTTTTCTGCGATGTTTACTGCTAAGTCTGATCCTATACGTTATCGCTTGCCATCTAAATATTACAATACTCGAGATCCTGACATATTAACTTATATTTTCGTTTGTATATTTATAAACCCAGAATATTTTTGAATACGGGCTAAGGTCTCTGTTATACTCTGCTCTTATTTTTGTTTTCATTAATTTAATTTTTTTTTTTTCATCCAAACATTGCAAATACTTTTTATGTCGTTAAAATTCTTACGTAACTGATTAATCTTTTTAAAGATTATTGTGTGAAATTTACCTTATTATCGTGTGTTACTTAAAAGCGATATTAATAAATAAACTGTTTATTCATGAGTATGGTCTCACCGTTTGGTTCATTTCCTGATTTACTCTGGTCTGGAAGAAACTGGAAGTCGAACAACTGGATGCGCATATGCGGCGTTTTATTGTATTGTAATCTTATGTATATAACATGTAAATTTATCTAATGTGAGAAATATAAACATAATTTTCATTGCATAGTTAGATGTTGTGGTTGTGGGAAATGGCTGATTGGATTGATGGAATCCTCCGCGAAACATTTTGATGAATTTTGTTTTGACTTGGGTTGATTCGGTTGAGCTTGTATTACATCCAGCGCGGTTAGCCCTATCAAGGAAGGAGAGGAAGGAGGGGCGAAGGAGGAGGAGAAGGAGGAGGGAAGGCGATGGGAGGACAGGATTCGATGAATACGAATGTCCCATGGGAAGTGTGTTGGGGTTTCGGATAAAAGAGTGACGTATTTGAGACGATTCCCTCTCAAAGGGTGTAAATCCATTTCGGGCGTCGGGGGCCCTAGCAGTCGTTTTCACATCCATCCAATAGCTCTTACATTTCAATATCTTTCTCATATCCCTTTCTTCTATTTCACTTCTGTCGGTGTCTCTTTTAGTACTCCTGTCTCTTCGACTTCCGTCACCATGACTAGTTGGTCTTGTCCTTTATAAACCATGTATCCCTATTTTCCATATTGTAACACCAAAATACGTTTTATAACACATCACATGCTTCTGCTGAAATGTCAGCAACCCTTATAAATAGCATAAATGACTGCATATTCTGACCATTTTTCATCCTTATAATTTTACCTTTAAAGTATATTTCCATATATAACTAAAAGAAAAATATTATTTTTTAATTAATTGAACTAATGGGCATAAATGTTTGAATTTAAACAAAGACTGAATAAATAATCTGATCTCATAATAACAACTTATAAGATATCTAAGTTCGTAATCAAAGTTTAGAGCTAAGGCCTGAAGATATAATTTTATTAATTTTAGTATTTTGACCTTAGCAGAAATATGTGCAATATTATTTTATTGTGGAGTTATTAAAATTTAATAATAGGGTAATTTTAAATTAGATGTATTATTGATTGTTAATTTATATTTATTTTATTTCCAAACCTACAAATTGAATAATGTATTATGTTACGTAATGTATTTGAATTGGTGCCCCGAGATACTACCATGTCTCTCACCACTTTACTCTTAGATGACTTAGAGAGGCTCTTCCCCTCCATTCGAAGACAATATTTCCTAGGTACATCCTAGGTACATTCCTCTATCATATCATCAACAATCATCGCCCTTCCTACGCCTACAACCTTCTCCAATTCAAGTCCTCAGTCCACTCCCTCTCCACAAGATCTCGACCTTCCGACTTTTACATTCCTTCTCACAGATCTGCCTCGTTCCAAAACTCCTTTATTGCTCGTTCTGTTAGTTTCTGGAATTCCCTTCCTATCAAAATTCGACATTCTTCACCCTTATTTACATTCGAAACCCTCCTATTCCAATTCCTGTCTCAAAAACAGTCAGATACCAGCTAAGCTTTTATGTAAAATTACTTATTATTTATAATAACATATTCGCATATAGCTTATAACCTAAATACTTATTATAGATTCGACTTTCTTTTTTTTCTTTTTTTTTCAACAGAAACAGATTTTACTGTTAAGAAGAATTTACATTTATTTTTTCTGTATTTTTTATTTTTTCTAAAAGGGTTTATTTATATTTTAACATTGTACATAGTTTTAAGTATCTTAGTATGGTTTCAAGAGTTTTTTATATAGATTTTTTTATTTTATTTTGTATATAGCATGTATAACCGATATATTTTTTTCTTGTTTTTCTAATGATCTATCTTTATCTTAACTTTTTATGTTTGTTTTTTAACTGGCCAGATATAAAATTTTAATTTCTGTACTTTTTTGTTATTCTGAAAGGACCTCGTCCCAGAATAAAATTATTTTTCTATTTCTATTTCTATTTCTATTATATTACGTAGGAACCTCAGCTTCTTTTCTGAAACTTCTGAGCTAGAATGTTAGTATGAAATGAAATGGGTTATAAACATTAACTAGTAAATATTATACTGGAGATACAGATTAAATAATAAATATAAAAATGTGTGGTAAGCAAATTTCGAATATTGAAACGAATTTTGGTCCTAAGGAATTAAGGAGAAAGAAACCTAAGATGCATTGTAGTCGGAATAGAGGACATTAGGTGGCCTGAGTACCTTGAAGATAAGTCTGATGAAACAATTCATCAGTCTCTTCTCACTTCATTCCATCTCAAGCTTGCCTGATGAAAAACAAACGAACAAAAATATTACAAAATATAGACATAATCCTCATTCTTCTTAGAATGATTAATGTTAAATATGAAGAATGTTTAAAATACGGTTTGATTATATTTATAATTTATTATATTGGTTAGTAATTCAAAATAATACAGGTCATTTCTGATTTAAACTATGAGTGAATTCTTTTTTATATAACTTAATTAATTTTTTCTTTTCGTTTCTCTGTTTACTTGGTTTACCACTCCAAATAATTCGAGGAAATAAATAAAATTATTCTGTTCATGGTTTAAGGATTCAATTTCATTCCGACAGGTCATATAAAATTAATCCTTTGTAATTTTATCAATAGTAAATATTGCCTCAATATTTATTTTTATATTAATCAATCATCCAAAGGTTTGAATTGCTATTAATGACTTTTACCCTGATAATTTACTTTGGTCATGCCATAAACCTTCCGGAGTGATATATCTAATGCAAGAACTGAAACTGATTAATGTTATTCTGAAAAATATTAATGTATTTATATCAATTATCGATGAATGATTAATGATTGAACGATCGAACCACATCCTTGATTATGCCAAATGAATGGCCTTGTTAAAGTCTTCCTACACATATAGTTTCATTTTTTTTATTTTGCATTTTAACTATTATTCTAGTTAAATCGTTAGTAAATAGATAAATAAAAATAATTACGTAAAATGATAACGTGTTTGTCTAACCATTCATTGATATTGCCGCTACTGCTGCCTACTGCTGATATTTTTATCAGATGCTTTGAAGAATGGTTGATATGATCGACTGGCTATTAATAACGTATGGTACAAGATTTTAAAACGGTTTATGATTTCTATTAATGGAATTTTAGGACGTCTGTCCATTAATGGTGGAACGAAACCGGTATTCGCCACACAATATTTAAAGTCAATAAACTTGGTTTCATCCACTTAGCTTCTTTTTTTTAAACCATGTATATTGAAAAATATCACATTGCGTCTCAATTAAGGACTATTTCAATAAAGATCAGAGAGCCAGATCAGACCATATTCACAAAAAATAAATTAAGTTATAGCACTAAAATTAGTGTTGCCCAAATGCGAGACCGAGACGAGTCTTGGTCTTGCAAACTCAGTCTTGGTCATGGTCTTGGTCTTTTGTAAGAGTCTCGCAACGGCCTTATTATTATAACGGTAGTTACTTCTTAGCTTATTACTATCGAAATATTACTGTAATTTTTTAGATGGGAGGAAACCTAACTAAGCCCGAATGAAAAATTAGAGAAGTTAAATGCAAAATTATATTGGTTATACCAAGTATTTACATTTAGTAACTAAGATTGTCAGGTATTCGTAACTATTTTTCCTTAATTTTTATTCAAAAAAACGATTTTTTTTACCAGTCGTGTTCTTGGTCTTGCAACAGTTAGGCGACTTGAACTTTGCAAGACCAAAACCGATTTTGGACAACACTAACTAAAATACGTAAAAATCATAACAAAATAAAATATCATAAAACAAAAAAAAATGAACTTCAAAAAGTTTTTTAATATCATTTTTATTGAAATATATTAATTCCGTTTCAATTAAAAACAATTACAATAAAGATCAGATATCTGTTGATTATCATTTTATGTCCTTTATTTGATTAGTTATTTTTCCTTTATAATTTTATTCACATTCATTTATTCTATTAACTTTTTTACTTTTCTATTTGTAGATGTTTTCCTCCCATTACTCGTTTATTATTTTTACTATTATTTTTACTCATTTAGTAGCTCCGAAGAACTTGGCACACAGTAAATATCTACAATGTGTATTGTGAATCCTCTTCCCCTATCTCTTATCGCAAACATTATATATTTTAGTATATGGGAATTAGCCTTTTTAATAACTGTTAACAATTTCAAACCAGTTAAAATTCTAAAATTGTATCTTAACCAAAAGTCCAAATTATTATAATTGCCTAATCCCAAGTTTTTCGATGCTAGACAAAACGAAAAAAAAAAAAAAATCTTTATCTTTTGTACCCTCTTAAAACTCTAATTAAAAGTTGTTGTTTTTTTTTTTTTGCAGGTTGCAATCAAATTCAAGGAGAAACTTCTGTTTATGTCCATGCATTCATATGATTAAAGTATTTATTTATTTGTTTTATTTAATTTATATTTGTTTTGAGGGAACAACCCTGTACAAATAGAGTCTACCTCTGTATTATAAACATTATTATCCTTGTAGTATTACAATGATACCCTACATTCACACCATATTTACAAAAAAAATAAATTGTTATAAAACTTAAATACGTATAAATAAGAACAAAATAAAATAGCATAAAGAAAGAAAAATTGAAATTCAGAAAGTTAAAGATACATCTTAAAAAAATCATACAATGCATTATTTACCATCAGACAGAAGAGCTCCTCACCCTACTTGTGGAAGGAAAAATGAGGATCCAAGAAAGATAATGTCGCTTTACAGAAGGTCGCAGGGCCACTGACGTTTTAACCTTCGAGAAGTATTGTAGGTATTGGTGATGTCAGATAGGGGTCGTGCTACAGGATTTGGATGATGAGTAAGGTTCCTACGGAATTTGAAAAAAAAAATTGTGGGGAATTATATAAAAAATAAATGGGGTATTCAGGTATTACTCATTTAATTAAATGAAAACCAATCATTATCTTGAATAATATATATTTTAATTATATATCTTAGAAGATTTCCTGTTCTGTGATGCATGACCGATTGTCAAAGTGGATTTGACAGTATTAACAAACCATTTTTGAAAATTCAAATGCTTGTTTACTTTTTTATACTAACTAATACTGGAGATTCCAGGGATGATTGTTGGTTGTGCCTATGGGAATGAAAACGTTCTCGAAGAATAGGCCATTCCTACGAGCTTTGTGAGAAGACCGAAATAACAGAAAGAAAAACAAAGAAGTAGATAAAAGTAATTGAGAGGTTGGAGTAAAAGAGGACCAATTGAAGGCACAACTATCAAGACAATGGGAGGTAACTAGCAGGCAGGATATGATTGACTCCAGCGAGGTAGGGAATTAAGATGGAGGACGTGGAGCTATCTGATGTTGCCCATTGTTCGCTGGCGAGGTTTCGAATATTAGCCATCATCAGCTACATGCTGATAAGTCTTGCCCGTTCCAGGCTCTTATCTCTCTCCCACTTATATGGCTTATTTCCTTGCCGGAGTCTCTTTAGGATGATGATGCCCATCCCTTACTATCTCTCTGGAAATCTTTCTCCGCTACGTTAATTTTCCTACTGGAGGCTTTGTTAGCCCTTGTTTAAACAGCTGAAATTGGATTTTTTAGGTATCCTTGAGACAATGGTTCATGCAAAGTGTAAACTGGCTTTTCATATCTGGGCTTACAAAAACGGAAGTCGTTCTGTCCCGATTGTTATGGGAAACGAGGGCTACAATATAGAATGAAACCTCTGTCAATGGATGCTTCTCTTTAGCATACTATTTTATAAACCTTAAAATTTGATAGAATTATGTTTTTTCCGAATACCAGACGCTCTCTATAAAAGACGTGGGGACGGGCTAGATGCAAGAATAGTGGAGAGCAAAAAATCAAAGTGAAGTTAACAGAGACTCGAATTTTGCTTTTCCCCCTCTTCCCCAAAAATTCTCGATTTTGCGACTTCGCCACAATTAGTGAATGGCTACTTTTCATATACATTTTTTCGTATTCATTTTAAAAGTAAAAAACAATTAAAGAAACCGAGAAGAAACATGGAGCAACATTACCGTTTATGTGGAACTTATTGCGAACTCTGTTTGATGTCTACTTTATGTTGACAGATTGGACGAAAAAACGGGCAACTGTGAGCTAACTAAGCAAAGCTAAAGTTTTAAGCGCTGGTCATCCTGGTTTGGGTAATATGAAAACGCCACTTAACAGAAATTGATTATAGGCAAAGGTATCCTACACGCCAACTATACTAATAATGATCATTTTTATTCTTATGAATTTTTAATATAAATTTGTAACATTTTATCCACCAACAGGGTCATTAAAAAAATTGGCGGAGAAACATGGGACCATTTTAAACATTTGGGTAACGCGTTCCCACAGTCCAAGATCGACTCCCATGCGCAAGTAAATTTGCTTTATTCCATAAATTTATTGTCTGAATTTTGTGATATGCTTATTTTACGCACCTAAAAGAGATGATTACGACACAATCAACACTCTACATGATCAGATTTTTCAGGGTACTTAATCCAAGAACCTTCATGGGTTGTAATGATATGGGGCTTTTTTTTCCCTCCTATCTCCTGTAACTTAGAGGAACGGTGTAGCGAAGTGGATAAGGGACCGACTTTCTATGTTGAAGATCCTGTGTTCAGATCCGACAGTATGTATTCTGTTAAATTTTTCGTGGATCGACCCAAGCATCATGGGTTGTAGTAGTTCATTTTTTTTCTGTACCTGTATTTCAAGTCAAGTTTAACAAATATTTAACGAATGCTGTTTTTAGATGACTTGATATATTGGAGGTATCCAAAAAAATTAATTAATAGAAGCTGCAGTGGTTACCGGACGCATTATCAATTAATCTTCTTCCATCAGAGAAAGAACAATAATAATCGGCTACACACCACCGCAACTGTGTTGATAATAAAATGTTATGTTATTGTTGTCCGTTCCGCTTAGCTATGTTTACTACAATTAAACTGCTTTTCATATTTACTACTTCCTGTTGCCAAGGGAACTGATAAACAATCAGTTCATACTAATTGTCGCTAATTGTTGTAAAGACTGGCAGCCTTGAAATATATTTGTGGGAAGCCGGGTAAAGATAGTTAATTGAATGGCTGCGTGTATATTTAACTAAAGACATCCGCTGCAGACCTTGTCTACTAACAATATGTATCTCTTAGGAAAATCTTAATGGGGATGTTTAGCTACTCATTAGTTCACCCATTACATTTTAAACGTTTAAAGTTAATATTGCTAATATCTTTGTTGCAACTTCATTTTCAGATACGAAAGAAAATCTTTGACATTCCTGTTTAAACTGGTAGAAGCCCCTGGTTTCATAGATTTTTATCTGGCAAAAGTTGAGAAGAACATACGCTTACATTATAAAATATTTAAATTACTTTATTTATGTCTACAAGCCTCTTCTTTGAACTTGAACCTAATTTTTTTAATATATATATCTTTTTATTGAGAAATAATACCTTTGCCACACTTAAGTTCACTGAGTACTAAAGCTGAGTGAGGCGCATTCATACCATATATACAATACAATAAAAAAATAAATAAATAAATAAAATAAAAAATAATATAAATAAAAAAATAATTTAAAAAATTATAAATCTATTTAACAAAGGCAAAAAATATAATAAACCAAGGTAATGTAACTTAGAGTTAAAATTAAATAAAATACTGAAATTCATAGCTAAATTAAATAAATTATAAGTAAAAACATTGATTCTTAATTACAATATTTACAATCAGGCTAGAGATCTCCGAACCCAGCCCTTTCCCCCAGGTGTGAAGGACAAAACGAGACTCTAGGAGATCCCAGCGCTTCTTATCAGCGGTGGAATAAGATTGGATATGACATATGTAAGTAAGGATATGAGCGGAGTGTCAAGATCTGAATTCTGAGAGGAACATAGGAGATTTGGTGAGGACTGGACTTTTGTGAACCCAAAATAAACGGAAAGCGAAGTGATTTATACAGAAAATGGAGTGATGAATTAAATTTTACATTTTTTAATGCATATAGAAAGTCATGCCACTCATGAATCTGATACACGCTTTACCAATAGTATTAGCCTTACCCAAATCCAAGACCAAGATGACACTTCAATCTTGCAGCAAGAGTCTCACAAGTCTTGCAATGATCCATTTAGCCTGGTACTTTTTATTAAGCACGTTAAATGGATCTTAAAATAATACAACAGAGTAGGTACATTTAGAGCTTATGTTCACATTTACATATTAAAGTCCAACCAAATTAACAAAATTGACTCGACAAAATTTTAAAATTGTCCTCTTAACTATTTAGCATTAAATTTTATTCACAAAAAAAACTTGTTTATCTTTTCTAGCTCCGGCGCTGGCAAACGTTTAATTTTTTGTTATTATTTTCAACAGTAAATTTAGATATTGCATACATTTTTTTTATTCATTTGTTTCCCTTATCAGCTGTTTGATTGTAACCTTCCCTTGCTGTGTTGCCTTACCTTCCTTCCAGTATACAACTGGATTTCATGAAGTGGTGTTCTGATAGCTGTTTTTCTGTGTTGATGAATCGGCGAAACGTTGAAGGGGTTTTCTTTTTCCTGTATTTTGGAGAATGAGGTTTGGATTTATTATTATTTATTATTTATTTTGTTATGTACGGTAATTCACTTTTGGCATTAGCTTGACGTATCTAGAATCTGTATTTATTAGTTGTAAAATATTGAATCCCATTTGATGCTCTAAAAAATATGTATTAATTAACATTATTGTTTTGTAGTAATAACTCCTAATAGAAAAAGGTTTAATTTGCGATTCAGGAAGTAAAAACCATTTGTTATATTGATAGCTAGCTTGTGTTCTATAATCGAGGGAACCCGAAAGGAGCAGGTGCCCTCGCAAGAATAACATATTGCCACGCGGTGAGGCAAAAGGTTACGCGCTTTGTACAACGTGTTCAGCAACTATAAAGTGTTTCCTCAAACAGTCCCCTAATAGATATAACTGTCGGCCAACAAAAGGTTCTTTCCTAATGGGCGACACCTCGGCGCCTGGGCAGCTCCTGTGTGACCGAGCGATTTCACGCTCCTCTCCCAGGTAATCGAAACCTTTATCTTAGTCTTTAGGCAAACAGCGCCCAGCCAAATCGGCTGTGAACCCTGACGAATCCGCAAATGGGATGTGCAAACAGTATGCATCGGTCTGGGTCAATGGCGGCTAGATGATCCTGGTACCATTCTAGGACACTCGGTCACCGCTTCCAGAACTCCATGGTCTCGCAGAAACTGGTGTTGGTTGTAATGGCGGTGCCGAAGATGTTTGATTGATACTGTTTTAGCTTGCTTCTTGGATTTCATGTTATAAAACAAAAGACATGTTCGAATTTAAGGTTTTTTTTGGATTGGTGGAAAATTTCAGTGGGTCTAGCCTACATAAACATCAGTCACATTGAATGATAAAGCCGTTGTGACGTTGGGTGGGGTTAAAGGGTACGGATTGTCCCGGTCAAGAGAGGGAGGAATATTTCTAATAATTTAACTTGCCGGATGCTACTTCATGCCGGGATTTAGTGCTCCTGTATTCTATCTTAACGTTTTTTATAGCCTATATGAGTTATAAAATCAGTTATCGAAACTTTTTTGGGTTTCTTAGAACAATCGAATAAATGGACTCTCAGTTCAATTATACAGTTTTTATTAATTCCATTCAGAGATTGAACCTAGAATAAACCTCTTGTTCTTTAGTTTTGTAACAACAGTGATTATAGATTTGATTAATGTAAAAATTATTGTATTTTGTAATTAGGTGTTAGAAATATCAATGACATAGGCTCATCTCCATAATCAAGAGACGAATAAGGATTCCTTATGAAATCCTGGATATCACTAAGGGATTCAATACCTCTTGCTACACCACCGGATGAAAAAGACTCCTTCCTCCCTCCCTTGAGGACACCCGGATTGAGGAGCCACAAAAGCTTTCAAAGGCCTAAACAAAATCTTAAAATATTTACATGTTCAACCGAAATCCAGAAATACTCCACGCTCCCTTGAGCATTCGTCATTCCGCTATTGTTTTGAAGATTGAGAATTAAAAAGCTTCTGAGCATTCTTCATACAGTTTAAGAGTGATCTACTTACCTATTCGCTTAATCCGAAAGTTGAACTGATTAGCTATACTGGTCAGCATTAATGTGATTTTGTAGTTTTGTAGTATCGCTCTATTAATGCCTAAAAGAGGAACCAGGATCATATGTTATAGATAAAAAGTTGTGTTTGAAATCTTAAAGAGACATTCTGATAATTAATTTTAAAAAACATTCATTAATTAACCTCGCGCGGGCTCATTACCGCGTATGGGGAGCGTCCCACGGGTGGCGGATGTGGGAATGGTCGGTGGAAATTC